TCTGCTTTAAGAGGATTTCCGTTTGGGAAGCAGAACGGTTCTGGTCCAATGGAATGTTCGTTCCTTTTCTAGCTAGATTATTTGCTTTTTTATTACCTTCTATACTGGCGGGCAGACACCCAAAATAGTAGGACTTTATTTTCTTTGCCTAATTGGTTCAGCTTCTCTAGGCAATCTTTGACCAACTTCGAATTGATGGTTAATGAGTTGATAGCGCTTAAGGCTGCTTGGCTATCAAATAAGATGGCTATTTCTTGTTTCCGATAGTTCCCATGTTTCGATGGTAAAGATGGAAACTATCGTAAATTTCTACCTTAAGGATGCTGGAATAAGTGCCGATTGGTTCGGAATATTGAGTTTTCGGTCCAAATTCTTCTATCCCTGTCTTTTAACTGCTGTTTTTCCCTTAAAATATCTTTTATTACTCAATGTTATAGTAAGGTGTTTCTCATAATTGTATATTCTTGGTATGTATCCACAGGGAGTTGGAGTAGTAAAATTCTCCTTTTGAGGGTGTTCCAAGCTCCTTTGCTTCAACCGCATTAATAATTATTATTTTCTGAAACGCTTCGTTTCTATGGATAATTGTCACTTTTATAATCGTGTTCTTTATGGTTCTTTCTTACAATTATAATGTGCTTTTTGATAATGCTTGAATAAAGGTATAGATTTTATTTGTAGTTCTCTATAACGATTCAGATATTTCAAAATGAAAGGAATAAGCACCGCTTTATAGCAGCCGGCTTTGTGTAATTCCCAGTTTATGACCTAGCACTAGAGTTGTTTCCAAATACTTGAATTGAATCGGTTTACAGCCAGTTTTTAGGACGTCGTTCACAATAGCTTAGCCGATTTTTTGACTAGTTACGTTTAAAGAATAAATTGACGAAAGTAAAGTAACTATTTTGTGCCCACTAACTAAAAACTTAAAAAGTAAGCAGAAATATACTAGTTTAAATGACGTTTACTTAAAAAAACTGTTATTTATAAGTCAAAATGATGACAACAATAAATTCCTGCAAATTTTCTGACTGTAATTTTACCAAAATAGAGAGATAAACAAGATCGACAAATTTTAGGATCATTTTATCCTGGTGAAAAGCCGAAAATCGCCGTTTTTTGATGGCTTTTTCTGTTATTATTACATTGCTTTCAAAATTGCCAAACATTGAGATAAACCGATGATATTTACAACGCATGTTGTATGTTTTCCGTGCTTTTAAAGGATGTTTAGGGTAAACTATAAATGTATTTTCAATTATTAAAAAATATATTATATAAATGAAATTATTATTTTGTCTATAAAAAAACATACAAAAAGGGCCGTGTGCTTTGTTATTTGTTTTTATAATTTTTTAGATTTAATAAAAATCAAGTGACTGTGTAATTGGCATGATTGACAAATGCAATTTAAGAGCTACCTAATTATTTATATTCGTTATGTCACCAATTTTGATAAAGCTATTGTTATTTACTAATTAAAAGACGTAGAAAACTAAAATATAACATAGATTATATTTTAGTTTATATAATTTATAATAACTACATATAACATTGCGTTTACCGTCCTTGGTGTAGACAGTTTTAACCAGCATCAAAATTCAACAAGGGTTTGGTTGTTAAAATAAATGTTCTAATAAAACCAAAGGCATTTAAGCCCTAATGTTTTTATATCCTCTAAAAGTACATAAAATTTACTATAAATACCGTAATTTTAAAAATATTATGACTGGGTTCACTATTATTCTAAGTGCCTCAAACACGGGTAAAAAATAGACAAAAATTGTCAAGTTTTTCCATACATAAAAATAGGCAGTTATGATCATGTCATGGATTTTTATCAAACTACTGCGATTTACTAATAAGAAGATGTAGAACACAAAAATATAGGCCATTGTAGCCTTGCTTTTACAACAATCCTTGATGTAGGTAAAGTAAAATAAAACCAGCATCAAAATTTGCCCAAAATCAAAGGTTTAAAAAATCAATTTTCTAATAAATTCAAAACACTTAAACCCCAATACTTTCATATTTTCTAAAAGTTCATAAAATTTCTTATAAACATTTTAATTTTAAAAATGTTATGATAGGGTTTATTAGTATTGAAAGGGCCTCAAAAACGGCTAAAAATATCCAAAAATGGCAATTTTGATATGGTTATGAAAAAACTGGCCATTTTAATAATCTTAATTATTTAATAATAAAAAGGGCGTAGAATACAAAAATATAGGCCATTGTTTGCCTTGCATTTACAGTACTTGATAGATACATTATCAAAATTTCCTCAAAAAGAAAAATTCAAAAAACAAAGCATTTAAGCCCCGATCTTTTTATAAGTTTGAACTAATGCAACTACCCTAGATTTTCTTCTAACATATTCACTATCGAGCAAAACGGATAGAGCCGCGCGGTAAAAAAATATGCAAAAATGTTTGAAAAGCTTTTGTCTAACGTTTTCGCCCTATCCACGGTGAAGCCGCGGTATTCGAAAACATTTTAAAACCGGAAGGATCAAAGTAAAAAGTTATCTCTGCATACAAGCAAAGTTAAACGGATGCTAGCGTTTTTGTCAGGCTTCTAACTTACCCATTATTTACAGCGATCGATCAATATTTAAGACATGTAAAAAGTTCCCGTGCAATTTGGCCTCGGCGAAACGTAGATCGCGGATTGAAATTCAGATAAGACATTGGAATGGGACAAATTTGTGTACTAATTTCTAGTTTTCCTTGTCTGGGCGATGCTCCAATTGCCTCATTACTATCTCCGCCCACCAACATTTGCACTGGTGCACTAAGATGAGGTTACAACTGTTGCCGAACTTACAAGACTCCCGATCGTGATTACGGCATACTTTAAATGAATTTATTCAAACCCCATTCGAATTGGATAAGTAATATTATGCACCATTCCTTTTATATACGTTATATACCTATCGTCATGTGATCAAGCCCCGAATAACTAGCACTAATTTATCTAACTATTAATCAAAACAAACCCAACGAGTATAAACCTGGTAATATCTCATTATAGACACTCATGTGACAGATATCTATCAAAAGAAATTTAATTTCTACTGTAACCTAATTTTAATTCCTCCTCAAAATTAATGATTATTTCATTGATGAGGGTAAATTTTAAATGTAAATTTATTTCATTTTAAATGAAATCATCTCATTTTATATTAAGAATATTATTTTTATGAGATGGAATCTACATTATATGTGATTAGATTTTACACCAAATTCTGTTAGTTCTAGTTTTTCAAAAAACACCTTAATATTGTCAAATAATGATCAAAATTAATTAAATAAGCTGTGATCATACTATATAAAATGAGATTTGTTAATTCTCAATCTATAAATTAATTTTCTTTAAATGTGGCCACCATATTTTACATGATATACACAACATATAGGTAAAATGTGATAAGACTTAGAGAGAAGACATTTTATATTAACTTATATTATAATATGAGACTATATTTTACACTGGATCCTAGAAAATAAATTTAGTTTTTAAAGAAGACCGTTAAAAAGAATTGGATCAAAAATACTGTGATAATCTTATCTAACATAGGAATTTTTAATTCTCCCTATAAATTAAATGTCCTTAAATAAAACCACCATATTTTACATATACATATATTATCTCATTTTATTTGAAGTCATCTCATTTTACAAAATAAATAAAATAAGAGGTAAAATGAGGTAAAATATTTTCATTAAATAGTCAGATGAACAATCATATTATATATCTCATTTAAAATATGATTATCTCATGTAGGTAATATGACAAAATATTACATGAGGTATACATAATTTTACAAACATTTTTTTAAAGAAAAATACAGTTGTTACTTTTGGAGAAAAAAAATAATATCCGCTAAATTAATTTAATTATTTATGTAAATTATAACTGAAGTTAAACAAAAGTAGTACGACTGGTTAGCCTAATAAAACAAGGCTGATGAAGTCTTTACAAGTTGGTATCAACTAAAAACCCTCTATTATTTTCTTAGGAATAAAAAAGTGCAAATTTCTATAGGAAATCTCGAAGAAAAGTTTAAAATGTATTCAAAAGTTTCGTGCCGCATTTTAAAGTGCATATACATGTTAGGTGTTTGCGTTATATGAATTACTTTCATAAAACTTAACTTTTCAAAGAAAATGCGTACATTAGAGTATGAATTTTTAAATGGATTTCCTTTAGAGGCAGCTCAAACTGAAAATTTAGTTTGAGCAGCCCTTTTGTAACTTACTAACTAGTCTTTTGACTTACTTTGTTATTGTTTGATAATGATAGAGTCTACTGTAACATACTTTATCTCCAAAAAACCTTAAAGGAAATAAACGCAATTTAAGTGAATTATCTTTAAAATTCTGATCCTCAACGGATTTAAATCTAAAAATTTTATGTTTGAAACAAACTAGCATGTGTGGAATGATTTATACAAAAGGCACAAAAATTCATTGCCTATTTTAGACTGTATAAAAATTTATCGCCACCTTATCTAGGTTTTAAATACACTCTCGCACCTCTGCGAAGAAAACTAAAAGATTTACTGGCCAGACTAAACTATTTCATTTTATTTTAAATATATCTTCATTAGTTCTGGAATTTACTGCTTTACAGACACACTTTTTCTTTTTGTCCTTATAGATAATAGAATTATAGATAAATAAGCAGCTTCAAGGAAATTACAATATTGAAATTACAAGATACACCAATTTTATCCAAACTAGTAAGTTTCAAGTCTACTTTAATATAAAAAAATTAGAAGCGTTCAAAATCAATATTATTTATTATTACTTCCGCTCTAAAGAGCGAAAATTATGATGAAAATCTTTTAGATAATTTTTAAAACCTATTAGGAGATGATTTTCTTGAGCGGCCAATAATAAATCGATAAATTATTAGTTTTTTTTTTCGAGGCAAAACCGTTGATGAAATATTACTTTCGTAAACGATGGGTCGGTAATTAAATTTTATTGTTTCAGGATGGATAGATACCAAGGGATACTTCCCAAGTAATTAGAGATTCATAATGAAAATGATTCATCGTGTTAAAAAAGCTTTCCCAACGTTGCTGGTCTTGTATGAAATAATGGTTTGTTCACAAGCTGCAGGTTAGTATACTTCACGGTGTTAAGTTTCCTTTTTAATATTAATGTATTTTTTCAATGCAATTAAGGCTAGCCCGAGTTGGTTGTTTGTGACTACACAACTTTTTTTATTTAGGCTATGCAAATTTAACAGTTTTATTCATAGGCGTAACGACGGCAAGGCAACGTGGAGCAGTTGCCTCATCCTAGTGTTCTAGCTCATGCATAATTTCTTGTAGTTCAAATAGTTTTTAAAAGTATCTTCATATTTTGCAAAATGGTATATCAAGAACAACAATCAACAACGGTAAAAAATATATTCAATATATTTCGAATATTTTTTTTTTCATTTATACACCATTTAAGTTATTTAAAACTCAGTTTGATTATGTATTATACAAGATATCTGGAACAATTAAAATAACTTGGTTCTTATAAAAAAATTTAGTTTTAAAAGCATTGAAATATAAATATTTGATCCTGGCTGCTTAATTCGTTGACCCCCAAAAAGAAGTCGAAAAAACTGCTTCCAACACCTGCATACAAACACAAACATTTAATTTTCGTTTCTTCGCTATTACTTTTGCTTTTACTATTTATTTATCACGTCTTCAACATAATCACGCAAAATCTTGTAGATGAAAAGTACATTGATTAAAGAAATGAAAAATAAATTTGAAATCGAAATTTTGTGAAGATTTAACTAGAACCCTCGCAGATTAGTTTTAAAATAAAATTACAGTTTTGTTGAGAGCAGATTTTAGTACCGATTTTTTGGAATTTATTTGCACCACCCTAAGTCAAAACATAGCTACGCCCATAGTTTTATTATAGCAAGAACGGGGTGGATTTTAAGTTTCTACAACAGTATTATCATGTTACTATTCAAATTAAGGTAGTTTAACATATCAAATATAAAATTTAAATAAGCTTCATATCCTTATAAATTATGAAATACCATCTAACTACTAAAAGTAACGTTAAGTTGAAAATAAAAATTATTCCAGTCATTACTCTTGATGCAAAGTTTAAACTTCAAAGTGCATGAACGCATTTCTTTATCTTCAGTTCAGCTACAATACAATGCATAATCTAACAACACATATGTCATCGCCGTCAACGGATATGTAGTCTCTTTTGTTAGATCTTACATTTATATAACAGCGATGCAACATTTGTTCAGAAAGGCCGACGTAGATAAAAGAATAAAAAAAAATATGTAAGTCATTCCTTAATAAAACAGACCATCTATATTTAAAAGTTGTGTATTCTATAGTATGTCTGTTAGTGATAAATATTTTTAGAAGTTTATATTGTACTTGTATATATGCTTTTTTGTCACATGGGTGATTTGAAATATTAGCCGACTTCTAGTGGCCTAATCTTCCATTCTCTCTGTTCTTATAGTATGTCTGTTAGTGATAAATATTTTTAGAAGTTTATATTGTACTTGTATATATGCTTTTTTGTCACATGGATGATTTGAAATATTAACATTTGACTATAACATTGACTATTTATTTAAGTCGCCTAGAAAAATAGTAAGCTTTGTTTGAATATATATATATATATATATATATATATATATATATATATATATATATATATATATATATATATATATATATATATATATACTCTTTACATATTTGCAGAAAATTTTATGTACTTTTAAAATATATAAAAATGAAAATTCTTAAGTGTCCTATAATTTTGTAAGAAAATTGATTTTACAAACACTTGTTTTTGAGCGATTGCTGTTCATAATAAAAAAAAATTGCATACATCTAATACTATACTCGTATAATCTGTATTTTTGTGTTTTACCCCATTGAATAAGTAAATAACTATAGTTTTATCAAATTCGGTGACTTGACCAAAATTGTCAATTTTCGTGACTACACAAAGCGAGTCTTAAATAAGTGCAAATATTTTCAGGACTGGTAGATCTCTATAAAAGAAATATATCTTCTTCTTGTCGTTCTTCAAATAAGTCCAACATAACCGAGATATTTTAGTTTGAAAATTAAAAAAAATATATTGTTGGCCTAAATTTTGAGAACCACTGGATTTTTTCTGAATTCTCTTTCTTGTAAATGTAATCTTCTACCTATGTTATGAAGATATTATGTCTATTAAAATTGTTTTAAAATTTTCAAATAAATTTTTCAAAAAATGATTTCCAAATTTTTTGCGAAAAAAATTCTCATAGGCTTGTTTTTGGGGTCAAAATATACTTCCCCTAAAATATTTTCACTTATTTTTACGAATTTTCAAAGGCCTTAGAAACATAGTAAATATAGTTATAACATTTTGAAAATTTTAGTATTTGTAGAAAATATTATGTAAATTCAAATTATATACACCATTAAAGGGTTAAGTATTTTAGCTTTGTGAGAAAATTAATTTTTTGAACCCTTGTTTTTCAGCTATATTTGATGAGGATTAAAACACACCATCTACGTCCATTACTTATTCTACATATTTTAGTTAGTAAATAACAACAGTTTTAACAAAATTGGTGACATGACGAAAATGGAAATTTTCATGACATGAAAATGGAAAAGTTCATTCAAATAATGAACTGAACTATCGAAAAAAAGCCAATTTTTGGCAATTTTTCAAGGAGCCTAGAAAAGTAGAAAATATAAACAGAAAATTATAAAGACTTCAGAATTTGTAGAAAATTTTGTGTAGATTTAGGTTTATATACCCTAACCTAACCAACAGCTTTAATGCTTAGGTACTTTAGTTTTTTGAATAAATTGACTTTTTTTCTTTGTACCTAGTAATCTATATCTACTATACTGCACTTGTAAGGTCAGAATAGCTTGTATTTTCAAATTATATGACATTTGATAAGTAAATAACAGTACTTTAACAAAAATTGACACATCTTATCACGTGTCAGTAAGAACAATGCAAATTTTAATAACTAAAAATATCACCTTAAAAACATCAAGTTTTCTTCAAAGTATCCATCGGTGCGTTAGTTATTAACTTAGTTATTAACCAGTTAAAACTAAAATTAAGGTACTGCTGTGCCAGATAGCAGTTAAGTTGATCAACAGAGAGACTGTAAAAGTTAATAGCAAATAAAATCGGAAAAAAGGTCTCTCCGTTGTGTCAGTGAGGTCAATGCGGTTGTTAAGAATGGCAAAACGGAGAAATTTAAACGGTTAAACATTTGAAACATTTCGCAAGGCAAAATCAAGATTGACCTTTTCCGCTTCTGCATTAAATCTTGTGGAAAGCAAGGATTACTGAGCAACTGAAGCGAAAACGACCCGGTAGGGTGGGAACAAATATAATGCAAGACGTAATAATGGAATTTATAACTTTATTACAAATTGAATGCTGCCGACTATTTTATAAAGATTTAAATATTTTGTTATAGAATTTTGTTATCTTGTTAGGATCGCTTCGAAGATTAGAAATTTTAGCAATATTTGGCTGTAAACTTGCCGGATGCTTAGAATTTTTTTTTAGAATGAGTGAGAGGGGGGTTAATCACCGCGACCTTACAGATCTATTGTGTTCCCCTTTCTTGAGTTATAACTCATCATACCGTCCCAGGGTTTTGACAAAAAAGTATCTGGGACGGTTTTATAGAAGATAGTTCTCCATCTCCAATATCAGTCGTACCAAAGTTCATGGCACGACTGGTTGTCGTCTCGGCGCACTCAGTGATGAGGTGTACTGGTGTTTCCCCATTTTCCCCACAGAATCTGCATTCGCCGTTCCTTCTTAGTTTCAATCTACTGAGATGTTCATTGAGGAGACAGTGTCCTGTTAAAAACCCCATGACAATCCGAAAATTGTTCTTACTTAAATCTAGGAAGATATTTGATTTTTCTTGATCGTAAGCCCTTAGAAACTTCTTCGAGTGTCTTAGGCCGTTGCAAGATTCCTATTCCAGGTTGCGGATGGAGTCTTCCAAGTTCTTGAGTTCCACCTTGAGTTGGTTACCACTTGGAAAGCAGAACGGTTCTGGTCCTAGTGGAGTGTTCGCTCCTTTTCTAGCAAGATCATTTGCTTTTTCATTGTCTTCTATCCCTTGCTGAGCAGGCACCCAGAGTAGGAGAACTTTGTTTTCTTTGCCTAATTTATTCAGCTTCTCTATGCATTCTTTGACCAATTTCGAATTGATTGATACTGAATTGATCGCTTTTAACGCTGCTTGACTATCAGATAAGATGGCCGGATGCTTGCCGGGATGACACTTATCGAACAACTAATTATTGCACCGATAGATATTATGATTACAATGGTTATAGGAATTTTAGAAAAAGTGTCATCTTGTAAGGATCGCGTAGAAGATTAGGAACTCAGGCAATGTTTAACTATAAACTTGCCGGAATGACACTTGTCGAACAACTAACCAACGAACGGGCCGATGGGAATTATGATTACAATGGTTAGAGGAATTTTAGAAAAGGTGTCATCTTGTTAGGATCGCATCGAAGATTCGAAATTTAGAAAATATTTGGCTGTAAACTTGCCGGAATGACAGTTATCGAACAAGTAACTAACACGCCGATGGATATTATAAAATGAAAAAAACTCGACTTAGACGAAGATGAATCAAAGCAGCGGCGGCGAAAATTATTTGACTTAATTAATTTTAATATCGTTACGCGCCTTACTTCAACATACGTGTTTCGAAATTTAACAAGTGGAGAAACACGCTGCCGACCCTACTGAATTATTTACCCGACCTATTAAAGTTGTTTGCCGAAAAATTTACATAATCCTTGCAATAAATTGCTCTTTATTCTATGTTTTCTAACAAATTACCCGAATTTAATTATAAGATAATATTTTATCTATAAACCGCATGGAATCGCAAAGTTTTAACGATATTTTTCTTCAAAATATGAAGATATACGCATGATTTTTAAATAACTCATATTTTTCAGTATTCAAAGTATAGAATTAAAAAATAAAAGAAGTGTATAAATGTCAAAATTTACAATTTTGGTCGTCACCCGTTTTAATAAAACTACTGTAATTTACTAATAAGGAAAAACGAAGAAAATTAAAATTTAAACCAAATATGGTTTTATGTTTTACGTCCTTGATGTAGAAAACGTTTTAATCAACATCAAAATTTGCTCAAAACGAAGAAACGGTTTGAAAAATCAATTTTATAATAAAACCAAAGCACGTAAGCACCAATATTATCTAAAAATATCATAAAATTTCCTATAATCACTATAATTTTTAAAATTTATGACCGGATTTACTATGTTTTAAGTAACCTCGAAAACACGAAAAAAATGGTCACAAATGGAGATTTTCGATTAATTTTTCCTCATATATGTTCATGAAAATTGGCGATTTTAGTCATGTCACGGATCTTGATCAAACTATTGTTATTTACTAATTAAAAATCACAGGACACAAAATGATAGGCCATTATGGTCTGGCATTTATGGCCCTTGATGTATGAAAAGTTTTAACCATCATCACAATTTGCTTAAAAAGAAGTGTTCAAGCAAATCAATTTTCTAATAAAACCAAAGAATGTAAGCACTATATTTTTATATTATCTAAAAGTACATAAAATTTTCTATAAACCTTGTAATTTTCAAAACTTTATGAAAAGGGTTTACGGTTTTTCTAAGAGCTTCGAATACCGGTAAAAATTAACTAATAATGGACAATTTTTTGACTTTTTTCCTTACGCATAGTCATGATAACTGACTATTCTGGTCAAGACATCGTATTTGATAAAATTATTATTCTTTACTTATTTAATGGCGTAGAACAAGAAAATACAGGCCATGTTTGCCTGATGAGTATAGTATTAGTACTTTTAAAGTTTTAATAAGTAATATATATTACCCATTAAAATGTATAATTTATGTTTTAACTCGATCGTAAAACCAAAATTGCTCATAAAAAGCTTAAAGAAAAAATTTACTTTGACAATAAACGGACTTTATTTCCTCGGTTCCTACGTGAGATAAAACTTTGTCATTGAAGAATGTTTTATACTGTATTTTATAAAAGAAAAACCCCAAAGTATTCTTAATAGGAGATTAAGAACTTGTTCGAATTTGTTTAAAGTTTTTCCCATTAAACTGTTCTGTATATAACGCGAACTTAAAACAAAACGTAGAGTACCGTCTCCCGTTCGCTCAAAACTATTCGTTTAAACTACCAAATTGAAAAATTCTGTAGTTTAAAGTAGGAAAATAAACAAAAGCGGGCCTTTTTGACGGTCTTTACTTTTACAGCGCCCCTAACATTATTATCGGCCTTTGAATAAGCCTGCATGCGTAGGCAAGAGCAACAATGGAATTTAAAACTGGTATATTCTTAGTTCTCTTGTCGGGAATTGCTCTTATGGCCATAAATCATACGTGCGGTTTTGTATATGTAGGTGCCGGTACCTAGGATCAACTCCATTATTTTGGTAGTACACTACATCAATCACTTTGACGTCACACCAATATGGCGCTGACAGTGCAAATGCTTGCGAATGTTTACATCAATTAAATATCCCCTGATTTATCGGAAAAATACTTTAAAAATTGTCGGGTTATCCTTTTACATTATTAGTTTACTAGAATTGATCTTTTACAAAAAAAGCTATTAATTTCTGTACGTCCAGTGTTAATAATAATTTTTACATAAAATGTATAAAAAAATTTTACATAAAAAAGTTCAAAATACAAACTTAGCTCCCAGTTCAAAATATGAACTCTTGTTGTAATTTTAAAATAAAATATGATATCAAAATGTTTCTTCTTTTTCAGAGTCAATACATGTACCTACAGTAGTAGCTCAAATTCCGCCAACAAAAGCTCAAGAAATAACAACTATTCAGCCGTCAATTGCAGAACCGAAGCTAGAAGAACCTCCTGTACACTCCAACAAAATTGAACTAGGAGCTACCAACATTACACAGAGTTACGAGTATGTAAAATTGCTGCAAACATTTCTAAAATATGAGAAAAAATCTTGACGTAAATTAAACACACAACGTCCGAGAAGGGTGCATGGTTCAAGTTAAATTATGTAAAATAAAGTTTTGAATACTGAATCACGTTTAGAACAGCGTTCGTACATAAAGAGTGTAAATTTAAGAGACGTTTATTAAAGAAAGAACCACAATATTCTATCAATTTTTTATTTAACACCAAGTATATGATTAAATTCAAAAAGCCAATTTGACAAGCTTCTAATAAAATCAAGAAAAAATTAGATTTTATAAATTAAAATTAGAGTTGCTGAGGATATGCTTCAGGAGGTTAAAATTTTAACTTTATACAGACGAAAGAGTCAATTACAGTTTAAGTAAGCTGTGGTTTTCTTACATTATCTTCTATGGGAAGAAGCAATTAACCTACATTTTAATCCAAAGCTAAGAAACTCATGAAAATTAACTAAAATGTAAACTATTATTGTTGTAATATAAAAAGCCGTCGTTTACACTCACCGGCACGAATAACGGGCACCATAAAATTTTTATGTATTTTAAAGTTTAATATATTTTTTTCCAGTGAGCCGATTTTGATTATTTTTTATGCAGTTTTTAGCTAAATAACTTGAATTCTTAATTAAAAATGAAAGTTCATCTGTCAATTATACAAGGGAAGACAAAATTTTGATGTACTGGTGAAAGTTTAAAACACCCTGTGGAATATAACAATCTAATAGTAAAGGCAGGGTTTTAATGTAAAGTTAAAATAAGTAAAAATTAAGTAAAAAGTAAATAGAATAATAATAATAGAAACAATAATAAAGAAAATATCAGTGTCTCCTTCAAAAGCGAATATCTCTAAACAAATAAAGCTATTGAGATCAACCAGTTTTGTTTTTCCTCGTATAATTGACGGTTAGAAACTTTCATTTTTAATTCAGAGAGAGATACTAAAAAGTCAATTAATTTAGTTACAAATTACTTAAAAAATAATGCAATTCAGTCCACTAGAACACAATATATATAAACTAAAAAATACAACAAAATTTTAAGGTATCCGTTATTCGTGCCGGTGAGTGTAGTCTGACTTCAAATCATGAAAATGGCTAGATTGGAACTCAAATATTCTTGAAATAAAACTTCATAACAAGCTATTTCCAATAAAACATAGTCAAGTATCTTTAAACATTCGTAAGTATTAATCGGTGAAGATTCTGTTCATTTTTCAGAGATGAGAATCCAACCAAGTATAAGCCAATCTTCCCATCGCCAAATCCCAGACTTAAGGGCCCTTTTTTTGAAGAAGGATCCGAACTGACTCACGTCACCGCTAGAGTTGGATCCACCATAAATCTCGACTGTCGCATCGGACTTCTTGGCGACAAAACCGTACGTAAATCTAAGAACGCCTTACTCTACTTTTTTAATTTTAAAGCTCCATCCGATAACGCTGCACCTGACTTTCTGTCTTTAACGAATTGCACAAAAGACAATTTATTCTGTCCGATTTTTGAAAGATAATTCTCGTTTTACTAATTTCAAATTCAATATTTCTATAACAATTATTTCACTTTGCTAAATCATTGAATATAGTATATTGGAGATTGTTGAGGTAGAAGGTTAATCACCGCAGCCTTATAGATCCTATTGTGTGCCCAACTTATCATACAGTCTCAGCTTGAAAAGCGAGTATCTAAGAGGATTTTACAGAGAATTGTTTTTTATATATAATGAGAACGAGTAATGAGGTGTCCTAGTGCTTTGTATGCTACCTGTTTGTTTCAGTTAGGTTAGGTTAGCTTCAATCTACTAAGGTGTTCATTCAGGGGACAAAAACCATGACAATACGGAGACTGTTATTACTTAAATTAAGGAAAATCTTTTAGATTTTTCTCGGTCATAAGTTCTGAGAAATTTCTTCGAGTGTCTTAGATTGTTGGAGGATTCCCATTCCAGGTTACGCACGATGATGTCTTCAAGGTTCTTGAGTTCGCTTTAAGTTGGTTTCCACTTGGTTCTGGTCCAGTTAGAGAGTAGAGCGTTCGCTGCTCTTCTAGCGAGATCGTTTGCTTTTTCATTACCTTCTATCCCTTGGTGGGCTGGCACTCTTGGTGGAGGACTTTATTTTCTTTGCCTAATTTAGCTTTAATTTTCTTTCTTGAATTAGAACCACTTCCTGACTTCTTTTTAGATCATTTAAATAAAAAGATTTTTATATTACTATATTTCTACCAACATTCTTTAATTTAATAAAAAAAAAGTTTGATGTTAATAAATTGATAGCAATTTAGCGGTGAGAGAAATATTTCCCCGAAGTTTCCTTCTCTGTATTTTATGTCGGAGAAATAATTTTCACCAACGAATTTATGTAGGTGGAGCCCTAATCAAATCTTGGAACCCAAAAATGGTTTAATAAATAGACCATATTTTAAATTCAGCGCCCTAACAAAACGCCCCACATAAAAATAAACAAAATTCAGATTTCCTCGAACTATATCCCAAAAAATACTCGCATAAACCTTTCTATCTGATTAAAATTTAACTGTGCATATATATCTCTCTTTAACCTTCTTTCCAAAGTTCAAAAATGAACCAAACTTATTTATTGCTTGGAATATATCCCTTATTTATTGAAAAGAATGGTATTATGATGTTTAATTCTAACATAAAACACCTAAATAATTTTACTACTACCAAATACACCCTTTCTCTATATAGAAGCATATGGTTTACACCTAATTTTAACAGAATTAAAATTTTACAAAAGCTTTTAAAGGCTACGACTCCACTGTTTAAACTTGTGTTATATTAAATAATCCCGACCATAATACATGCTAAATTGAGAGAATAAACTTCTAAAATAGATCTTTTCATATTTCTTTTTTCAGAAATATAATTATATATTTTTAGTTATTAGAAGCTATGGAATTTTAAAAATACTGTAATAATTTTTTGCAGAATTAAAAGATTAGTGAATTACAAGACAAATTTACACGGAATATGATATCTATTGGAATTAAATTGAACCTCACCAATAGCTAGGCTAATATTAATTAACACGAACTAATTATCCACTTACATTGCTCGATAGATTGCTAAATTTGCATTGTTCTAAGGAGTGGGAGAGACGTAACTCCGGAAACCATTCATTATGCTTGAGAATAATTATTATTGTAAGAAAATTAAATAATTTATTGTCACAATTTATTTTTTTAGGATACGCATGTTTTCCTAAAAGAAGTTCTCAACTATTTCTTATTTATTTATAAGCATGCTACATCAACAGTCTGAGAGATAACTTATAATTAACTGAAAAAATGCGATGAAAATTTTTATATGGCAGATTTAAAAATGTAATTTACGAGCAAAATAATTTTCTAATTTATTATGATCAAATCTCAATGTTACGAGATCGAATCTCAGTTAATCCTAATATTTAATTAAAGACCAACACAATTACTGAAAAAAGAACTAGGAAGTAGCAAGACAGAGAGAGATCGTGAAAATTATCGATAGCAAATACAAAGTTTATCGACGACAAAGATTTAACCCAATCCACGCTTAGGCTCAATAATCAATTAATTCCTTCTAGCCGATTGTGGAATGAAGCTTAACAAAAGTTCGTTGCTTCGCTGATCACTACATATTTTATCGAAGATATTAATTTACGTAAAACGTTAACGCTTCACGTGTCTACGCGCAGAGTAGTGGCGTTTTCATGCAGTATCTTTTACGCTAATGCGATATTAGATAATAAAAGCATTCAGGCAAAAGTAGCTTAACGCACCTTTGAGAATAAACCTACATTACATGCGCTCGGGGGCTTCCTCCTGTTAAAAGCATTCGTGTGAGATTCAGATCTATAAGAAATTTGATAAATTGTCACATTTCCATATATTGTCACTCTCAAAACTCACATTACAGGTAACAATTGAGTAATAAAGTTGTATATTCTATTACCAAGCATTTAATTTACAATCTTTCTTTGTATTTCATAGCGCTATTTTCATACCTAATATAAATATGAGTTTCATAAATCTATACTGAGAAATAAGGCTTTATTAGACTGTTACTAAAATACATAAAAATTTGTTACGCTTTTATAATAAACTCCATACCTTTATGAGTTATCTTAAAGAAAATATTGGGTATGAAACAGCAAATTAAAAGCAGTAATACAATCTTAAAAGTCTTTATGTGACCGTATAATAGTTAATATTAAAGTTTTTGTTTCGAATGCCTTGTAATAAATTTTCAAAAATGTTCATTGCATTGCACATGTAACTGAGTTATATACATAGAAATTCAACTATCTAAATTATATTGATATAATAATAGTGGAGCTATAAATACCCAGATCGAAGATTTCATTTGTTGAACCAGAAAGTTCCAACAGCTAAATTACATCGAAGAATGTCAGTAAATTAATGAACCGTAAAACTCATGGAATGGTCAGCCAATTACTGTGTCAAGTTTATTTCATTTAATCTCAAACATCGGCCGAGAAGAAGAGAAAAAACACCTAAACTACATATCTAGCTCTCAAATTGCTCTTGAGATGTAATTATTTTCGAAAAAAATTCTTGAAGTTTTTCTCTCGCACCAGAGCTAGGTAATATATTTCATTTTGATTTCTGTAGAAAATAAAATTAGCAGTTTATTCCTTTATAAAAGAAAGTACTTCAAAGCAATTTTGATATTAGAAGTAAAACAAAAATATCAGATGCATTCGGAAGCAAATGGAGGGTGAGAATGAATCCATCGAAATTAAAAACTTTTGTTTCAGTTCAAACTTCCGAATACGCCCGCTAAAAGTTTATTCCATTTGCGTTTTTAATATTATCATGTGGTTTGAAACTTTTTATCTTTTGGTATGCAAACTTTTTCCCTTTTTAGGCGTAGGCTCGTATTAATAGATAAAACCGTTGTGTAGCATATTCCCAACTTAATTCAAAAACAGTTTTGCCCGATATTGAAAATAGACATGATTGGATTGAATCAGGCCAAATTTAGTTGTATTGTCCTCTGCTTTAATATAATTATTTATTGTATTTTAATTTTGTCTAATGGGGCATATTTGTTTTAAAATCCTATGTTTCGCTTCATTAAAATGGAATAGCAGATTTCAGAACCATAATTAATTATACCAGAATATCAAATCTTGTAATCAAATTCTTTGGTACAATAATAATTGATATTAAATTTTTTACACTTGAATGTTAATACTAATCACGGATCCAGGCTTTAAATACTCTATTTATTAGCTTGAATAAATAACAGGTTTTCTAAAAGTCGTAAATTAGATAAGCCGGAAAGAATCGGCAATTTTGTTAATACCTTAATACCGAAAAGTATGGCAACACATAAAAGCAAAGCCAAACAAAACAAAATACGTTACGTTTCAAAATTTACAATAGAAACTGTAAACCATGTGCCAACACATTATGAACAATAAAAGAGAGAAACTCTAATTAAAGGTATTCAATAAATTACAGTAAAATTTTACACAAAACAATTTCGTTATACGTTCTTGCCGAGCCCAAATAAAAAGTAAAAAAAAATAAAACTGTACAGAATATTGCTCGGGAACGGTTTTGCTAATTTTTAAAGTTAATTTACGGAACAGAATAAAATTAACCATTCCCTAACTTTAAATTCGGCAGAAAGAAAACGGAAAGTCGGACACAGGGTTTATCGTATCCTTTGTTGTCAGTCTATTGAAATGCAGCGCTAGACTCGACTAAACATTACAATCATTCCTATAAACTCTTTTAATGCTGTTTTACTTTATCTACATCGACAAAAATTTAATTAACACAAGAAGAATATCATTTAATGGCAATATTTTTTCATATCAATGTCATTATGTATACTTCTTACCGGCAAAGCATAAAATTAAGGCATTAGTAAATGATATAGTTTGAGAATATTTTAATTATTTTTAAATGAGTAATAGAAACGTTAAACTTAAATTAATTACAAATAAAATTAGAACTTTTTAATTTATTTCCAACTGCAAATACTGAGAGGTTTCGATATAAAAGTGATTCTCTCTATTAATTCTGGACGAAAGAAATGGATTTTCTCATTATCATTTAGTACCTATCGATATTTTTCTTAAAGGAAGGCATCGTAAAGATAAGAATTATATAGGATATAAAATTTTATTATCCAGAATTATTTGGTCGAATAAAGAAGAAATTTGAAAAAGCTATTTCACGAAGAAGCAAATAAAACAAATTATAGACATGGATTGCTTTTTTTCTTTCTTCCAAACACTTTATTATTCTACACATAAAAATAGGATTTGTGCCAAAAATATATATGAATATATTTATATATCATTTCAAGGTTTAGAGCAAAAGAAATAATTTATTAAAATATTTGCAGGTTACATGGACACAAGTCAAGAACCAGAATATTAATCTATTGACAGTTGGGAAGAATACGCACAGTAAAGATGAACGCATACATCTGGCTTTCCGATATCCTAACAATTACAGACTGCAAATATCTTATGTCACTAAAAGGGATGAGGGGATATATGCATGTCAAGTAGCTACTTATCCGCCTAAAGTAAAGAGGATACATTTAACAATTACAGGTAAGTGTAATCTTAAGGTATCATTAATATAGGAAATAACCAATGAGTATTAAAATTATTACCCGTGTAATACAATATAAAAATTATCAAATTTAAATTTTATTAATCAATTTATAACAGAATATGTGTATCGTAGTCTGTTCAGTTATGATTAGATTACTAAACTAAAAATAAAGAAGAATACGTGTTTTTAAATTTTAAACAAACAACATATGCTTGAGCGCAGACGAGCATAAAATGTGATTTGGTATTTAGCCCTGTTTAAACAGAAGTCACGTAAAAGAGACTCCCTCAAGTTGTACTTGAGACCTTGTTGGGTTAAATTATTCGCAAAGTTAGGATTTTATGGGCCTTAGTCATGTGAAAAGTATGTGTTCAATGACAGATGTTAAGTTATCAGAAATTGGAGCTCTTCAGTCTGTTGTTTTAGACCCGAAAGTTTTATAATTAATGGCTTCTATAAATTCTATTAGAAATTTGTATCTATATTGTTATTTTTGTATTAAACCTAGTGAAAAAAATCTATTAATAATAAATTCAGAATAAAAATCTTCTCACTGAAGGCATTGTAAAAAAGCATCTATATCAAGTTTAAAAAGAATGGAATAAAACAACGTAAAAAATATAGAAACTACAGTAAAATTCGAACATAAATTTAATTAATCTACTATTTTCAGACCGGATATAGTCACCTATATTATCAGGTAAATGAATATAAAACTTTCTTTTTACTACTTTTTAAACTTTGCAAACTTGAAAAATATTTAAAGCTTTTCATTCCGATTTAATGACTTGGTGAACTTTTTTAACCCCAACAAAAATGAGTTTTCAATGGCATACGTTAAGTTTTCATAAATCTAACTCTATTCACATGGGCGCAAAAGCACAATGTGCGTATAATGAAATTGTAATGAATTTTTAATTGTATTCGATCAATGGTTAAAACAGATTTAGAGGTTTTTCCAGTTGAATAACGAACAAAGCTGCATAAGTGTAGATGAAATTAAATAATTTCGTAGAATAATCAAATAAAACAATTAATTAATTAATACTGTGCGGTTTGTAATACGCAGTAAAAGCAGGACATTTATTTCTGAAACATTATAATTCGAATAATACGAACTTAATTTGGTTTTATAACAATAATTACACAAAATAATATAATAAAATAAAGTTTCATTTTTTCTTTTGCTACATTTTCAATGAAACTTAAATTAATTCGTTCATTTACTTTCCAAAGTTTTGAGAGATAGTGTCTAAAGCCTTTCATGTATTTAATAATGAAATGCAACATTAAAGTTTAAAATTATAGAAAACAGAAGTTTTGAAAGGTTACCGTCAGTTTATATCGCTTTAAAGTTGACTATTATCATAATTAAATGTCACATACACTATGAAAATTCAAAGTTCAAGAGAGTTAATACAAAAACATCAAGTTTGTTGAAATATTACAGAGCGGTTATTTAAACAAAAACATCTCAGAAATAAGTCCCATTGTAAAAAGAGTATCTTAAGATATTTCTTTATCTTTAAAAACAAGCAATAGATGGCGAGCTTTATGAGGAAAATTCACATCAAAGGAGAAACAAGGAGTTATATTACGATTTTCCTAACCCCAAAAAGGTATTCTAGACGGCCGCACAAAAGAATATTCAGACTTGTTACAAAGCGACATCTGCTTCGAAAATCACGCGGCTAAAAATATTGTACAAAAGACGCTAAAATGCCACTTTAAATTTCATTTTTTTATTTCGCTAGATGATATTCAGAAAATTTTATAATTTCTAATGTATATTTTAAATCAGGATATACCCTGGCATATTAAAAAAAATCTATTAGAGATAATAAAAATACTAAAAATGTTGATAAAACCCTTTCCAAATTTTTATTGAGAAATTTATGTATAATTTATAGTCATGGTTAAAAACTCGCCTGTGTCTAACACTGTACTCATAAGGACAAAATGGATAATATCTTGCTAATCCGCGACTTTTAAATTAGTCACTTAGAGTATTTTTATAAAAATCTGTTACTTGGAGAAAATCGACAATATTTACTACTATATGAATACAAAAAGTTACCAAATTTTGGGCTATTTTTAAACATATTTGAAGGCCTTAGAGATATAGTAACATAGTCATAAAATTATGAAAATTTCAGCATTTATTGGACATTTTATGTAGATTCGAAATATATACATCTTTGAACGCTTAGGTACCTTGGTTTTGTCAGAAAATTAATTTTTTGGATCCTTGTTTTTCAGCTATTTTTGAAAATGGTTAAAACGTCTCTTACGTCCATTATTATTTCCTTAAGACTACAATGGTTTATATATTCTTATTCTACTTCTTTTACTTAGTAAATAACGGTACTTTTAACAAAATAGGTGACGAAAATCGCCAATTTTTATGAATTTTGTATCTATTTTATATTAATTTTCAAAAGCCTTGGGGTGGGGGGGGATATAGTAAACATAGTGACAAAATTATGAAAGTTTCAGCAATTGTAGGAAATGTTATGCCTGCCTTGATTTTGTGATAAAATTAATTATTTCAACCTTTGTCTCCTACATCTATTACTAATCTGGTAAGACTACAGTGGCATATATTTTCTTCTTGCACACCTTTTAATGAGTAAATTACAGTAGTTACGTCAAAATCGATGACCTGACCAAAATCGACAATTAATGAACGTGATAAGTATTATGACTATATATGTATGGAAAAAAGTAGAAAAATGGACGATTTTTTAAAGTTCCTTTTTTCGTGTTTTCAAAGCAGCTGGAAAATAGTAAAAATATCTCAAATATACAAATAATGTACCTCTTATTGCCTAGATAAATTTTTTACTATAGAACATTTTTTATTTTTTTTTCGAAAAAGAGAAATTTTGAAAAATCGCTTGACAAAAGGTGAAATTCGAAATGACAGGAGGCGAGTAACGAGTCGACTGAACTAGAAAAACAAATGCATCAATCTTCATATATGCACTTTGCCATCGGGTACGCTGCAATCCATAAACACGGGTGAAAGTAAAAGTTATTTTTCAACGGAAAACATTTAACCTGTTGCCATGATTTTACGGTGCATTTATTTTAACTGCAAAGGGCAAAAAAATCATCGTTCGACAGCTTCGAGTACGGTGCTTTTCAAAGATCCCAGATAATGCAGCGAACTGCTCGATCTCAGCCAGTAAACTTTTCTGTTTACCGGCTTCCCGAATAAAATTAAAGCTTCTTTACAGTAATTGTGTTATCCTGAATATAAATGTGTAAGTAAACTAACTTAAGGTCCCTTAACTTTCGCTAAGATCGCCTGGAATAGGTCTGTTCCGTTTTAGTAATTTAGGAAGCCATTTTCTCCTGCATTGTATAAGAACGAGATTTTTCCACGCCAGATTAGAAAACTATTTGAATTAACCTTTATTCAGGCTTTTAATACCGCCTATTCTCTAATGTCCTCCTTATGCACTCTTCCCAAATTGGAATTTTATATTCTCTTTTTTTAAATCCACGTTATATAGTCAAATAAAAAAGGAAATTGATAATATTAAATTCAATGATAACAAAAAAGTTACAGTAAAACAGAAAATTAACTAAGTCATACAGTCTTAACTATTAAAAGTACGGTTCAGATGCAATGACTTATCGTACGATTTGCTTATGTCAACAAAACGTTGCAGGTTAAACGTACAGACCAAGTACAACGACTTGACATTCAGTCTTTTGTTGTTCAACACTGTTGTAGTTAGATTTTGCTATTTGTTTAAATAAGTTAAAAAAGACAAATTAGACGTCTTAACTACGTCTCTACAAGAATTCCTGGGGGTGCCTTAAACGTTCAGAAAATTAAGTAAATTAAGATACCATAGATGGTTTATAAATATCTTTATCCCTATAGCGCCTGACCGCATAAATTTATAAAGTTAGGAACATTCTTTTCTGGAAGCAGTTCTAAGCGACTTATTTGTTTATCGCTTTATAATCCACATCCAACTTTTCAATAATAATCTGATAGGCCTGATTTTTCTTTTTCCTGTCTCTGTATTCTTGTGATTTTACTTGCTATAATCCAGGGAAACTCTTGCAAAATTCAATTAACTCACTGAGAAATTCATGCGAACATTGTCACATTATTAATTAAAATAAAACCACAAACAAATCGTTGTGAGAATCCACACGCTATGACTTGTCTGGAGCTCAAACTTTTAACTCAGTCTTTCCAATTTGTGCCATTCTAAACTTTGTTCAGACTTGCTGTCCGCACGCTTTGTCGTCGCAAGCAAATCGTAGGGTAAGTCGTTACGTCTGGACCGGGCTTTAAAAAGATATTAAATCTTCAAATCGATGTCTATTAAAAGTCGATAGCTATTTTTCAAACTAAAGAAAATATTAGATGAAACTTCTGAAAGATTGAAAAAAACTTGAATTGACTATAGAAACTAATATTCCATTTAAATATGAATTTGCTACTTTAAATTGCAAATTCGTACGATTTGAAATTTCAAAAAAATATTTTTTTTGTTCGCTGTTCCACAAAAACCAAGACATTTAAAACTGAATAACTTCCCTTTCGTTTGTTTGTTTTTAAGAAAAAAGTTTTGCGGGAGCCTGACGTTTTTTGGTTTTACAAATAAAGTTTATTTCACTTCTCTGGTCCCTGATTAAAGAAATATAAAAAAATATGGAAACAACAAAAATTTTCAATCGTTTATTAATTTTTTATTGATTATAATATACATAAAACTAAAGCTTTTAGCGAAAAATTTTTAAAGGTCAATTATGTTATAAAAGTACATAAAATTTCCAACAATTTACAAGCCAAAATTGGGCTGTTTTTCGACTTTTTTCAATACAGGTCATTTAAAATAAGGAAATATACTCCATTTCAGCCTTACGGATACAGTACATTATTTTTTTATTTATTTTTAACCATCAAATCAAAAATCTTCAAAACAAGGGTTGAAAAATGTAATTTTCTGGCATTTTACCATTTAAGCTTTTAACGGTTAATGTATTCTAAGAGTACGTAAGATTTCCTACAAATATCGATATTTTCATAGTTTTGTCACTATGTTTACTATTTTTTCTTTCATTCTAATAAAATGACGGTTATTAACTAACTGAAATCTATATCTTTACCGTTGTTACGATTATTTAATTTTTGTTTGATTTTAATTTTTGTTTAATTTTAATTTTGATGAATTAACTTAAAGGGTAGCTTTATTATTTAATCATGTGTTTTCGATTTTATTTTCTAATAAATAACAAATAATTCTTTTATGAAACTAAAACATAAGCGCGTACCACAATACCTAAAGGAGGATTTATAATAAGGGTCTTTTATTAATGTGACGTAAACTGGTAGTTTAATGTCCGTATAAACCTTAGTAATAGGTTGTGTAAGCATACATAGAGACTTTCTGAAGTCTCTTGCACCTGATTACAACATACATAATTAATATTTATCCAATCGGTGCTATTCCAAACGTGGGATATAACGTTAAAGTGAGATTTATAGGCATGTGTCAAACGCTTTAGCCTAATAATTTGCTACAAAATATTACACTGTAGTTGTATATTTGACAGCTTGATCTTATATTTCATATAGATACTTTAACTATTTTAATATTTCACTGTATTTCACCAAAACGTTGCTTGTAATAAAGCTACTGATATTTAATAATTAATAAAAGGCCAAGAATACGAAAATATAGCCCATTCTGGCCTTTCTACTACAGTGATAGATGTAAAGTTTTTAAAGTTTATCAAAAATTGATCAAAGAACAATGGTTCAAATAAACCATTTTCTACATATTATTATAAATCTACATAAAATTTTCGTATAAATTCTGAAACTTCAAAATTTCATGTGTGGTTTTATTCAGTCGATCACCAAACAAAATCATTTAATTTTTTAAAAATGTTTAAAAATATTCAACCTGTTAAAAAAGCTTTACCAATATATTGTAAGACCTTAATATATGAACGACCAATACATGAGAATAATTATTTTCAGCTCCAGAAGTGCGGATAGTCGACGAGTCAGGACGAGAAGTTCACGAGAGGCATTATCGACAAGGCAGCTCCTTGCTTTTAACCTGCTTGGCCACAAGTGTGGGCTTCATGGAAAATGAACCGGATAGAAATATTATTTCCTGGAAACACGGAGCCAGAATTCTTAGCCAGGGCAGTAGGTAAGTTTCTCGAAATCTTTCCGCAAAATATTTCCGTTTGAAATTTGCTGTTTCCAGAAACGCTATCCAAATCCAAACAATGTTTACGATTATTTAAAATTTAGGCAATGGTAAATAGACGCGACTCAGAGTATTCTCTGTGATCATTTACTTGAATTTAAAGGACCTTAAATAATGTCTGTATCTTTGTGGCCGATTCATTTCTTCAAAAAAATAAAATATGAATAATATTATACCATGTGTTAAATATTAAGAATTTGTATTTAAGTTATGTAAAGTCAATGTAATGTTAAAGGTCTTCGTTGGATCAACGCTGGGGTGTTGACAAAAAATAACTATTTTATTTTGTAGAATTTCTTACGTGATGTAATACCTAGAAGACTTTTTTTAAAAAGTATCTTAATGAATGAATTTATTATAGTAATAAATAGAAAGCCTTATAAAACTTTAACGAAACTATTAGCTGTTTTAAAAAACGTAGAAAGATATTTTAATTTCAAATTTAAAAATTTTAAAAACTTTCAAAGTCCAGACGAATATCTCGGCATGTCACAAAGGCAAATTCAAATAATTACGAATAGTATAGACGTAAACTTTACTCGACTTTTCATTTTATTCTAATTTTTTGGAGGGCGATGAGAATAAATGCTGACAAAAAGAATAAAAAAATCTAAATTTAAAGTTACTATAGGGTAAATCTTAAATAAGTGCACATATTTTAGGGGTTTCACGAACGGAACTATTAAGTATTTTTAACGAAAAAAAGTTACAGTTAATAACGATTATATCTTGATAATATAGATCGTAGATTAAATTGAAAGGGACGAAAACACAGAAAAGATCCAGCAATTTTTAGACTAAAATAACTCGGCTATTTGGGACTTATTTGTTATCAGTAAATATTTGCACTTAATTGAAACTCACGCTGTATAAAACTGACTACTTTATTTCAAAAGAAAATTTGATACCTGATTGACATATCTCTCCTCTAGTTTAATGCACATGAACATTCATTGTTCATGTGCATTCTTGCCTCATTAGCGCATTATGATTATTGATGAAATATTTTGTTATTATTGTTTTGAATTAAAAAACTATTAGCTGGAAGATTTGATCATTATTTTGAAGAGTATAATAAATTTCCATTTTTTTTTGTCCAAAAAGTATGGATTAAGAATCTAAAGCCGCTGTTTTTTTGGGGGTACTCAATGTCAACTTTAATTATATTTTCAACGCCCATCCCGGTCCAGCCTGAGGGCTTAGGACTGTCTTTCCACTAATTAGAATAGAAAACAAGGGCTGAAATATTATTCGAAATTCATCGATTCCGCCCTACTCAAAATGTCAGCGCGCCTTTTTGGAATTATTCCCAAAGATGGCAACGCCAGATTTTGCAAAAATTAAGAGTATTAAAATGAAGGACCGATCGGGATTACTAATTATTATTTCTAATGCGCGTTTCCGCTCAAATTAGATCTTTATTTCAAAGAAATTAACTTCGTTACAGAAGGAAACGCGAACAAAATAATTTAAGATCATAAAAAGTGTCGTTCAATGCATCTTGATTTTTACTTTGCTTCACTGCGATTCCAAAATATGAAACTAATTGTGAAATATCTACAGAAAAACTATAATTTAATATCTAGAATGTGGAAAGTAAAATTTAGGAAAGGGGGGTTAATCATTGCAACCTTACATAGATATTGTGTTTCCCCAAGTTGTAACTCATCATACAGTCATAGTTCTCCATTAGAGGTGAGTTAGTTCTGTTAATGAACAGTGCTTTTCATAAAATCAGTAAAATGAAAAATATACGAAATAATATACATGTACTGATTTCTTTCGAAAATCCACAACTATGAAACTATGAACCCTTCTCGGACACAAACGGTACATTGTGAAACAGGAAATTGTAGAGAGCAACAAGCCCTATAACATAGGATACAACATTTTAATGAACAGTGCTTTCCATAAAATCAATAAAATGAAAAATATTCGAAATAATATACATGTACTGATTTCTTTCGAAAATCGACAACTATGAAACTATGAACCCTTCGCGGACACAAACGGTACATTGTGAAACAGGAAATTGTAGAGAGAAATAAGCCCTATAACATAGGATACAACATTTTAATGAACAGTGCTTTCCATAAAATCAATAAAATGAAAAATATTCGAAATAATATACATGTACTGATTTCTTTCGAAAATCGACAACTATGAAACTATGAACCCTTCGCGGACACAAACGGTACATTGTGAAACAGGAAATTGTAGAGAGAAATAAGCCCTATAACATAGGATACAACATTTTAATGAACAGTGCTTTCCATAAAATCAATAAAATGAAAAATATTCGAAATAATATACATGTACTGATTTCTTTCGAAAATCGACAACTATGAAACTATGAACCCTTCGCGGACACAAACGGTACATTGTGAAACAGGAAATTGTAGAGAGAAATAAGCCCTATAACATAGGATACAACATTTTAATGAACAGTGCTTTCCATAAAATCAATAAAATGAAAAATATACGAAATAATATACATGTACTGATTTCTCTTTCACAATCGACAACTATGAAACTATGAACCCTTCCCGGACACAAACGGTACATTGTGAGACAGGAAATTGTAGAGAGAAACAAGCCCTATAACATAGGATACAACATTTTAATGAACAGTGCTTTCCATAAAATCAATAAAATGAAAAATATACCAAATAATATACATGTACTGATTTCTTTTCACATCTCCGATTTCAGTCATACCAAAGTTCATGGCACTAATGGTTGTCATCTTGGTTTGGTTTGGTGTTTCCCCATTTTCACTACAGAATCTGCATTCGCCATTATTTTTTATCTTCAATCTAGTGACGTGTTCATTGAAGAGACAGTGTCCTGCTTAAACCCCGTAACAATCCGAAAATTGTTCTTACTTAAATGAAGGAAATTTGGTCTAAGTTCTGAGAATTTAATATCTTATAACACTTCTACAATAGTATTAAAAGATTTTTACAGATATTGGAGAATTTTAAATTGATTTTAGTTTGTTACAAAATTTATATCTTTCGATATAATAAAAACATGAAACTTTCAGCTGGGAAAGCACATATAATTTTATTTAATATAATTTATTTTAACTCTGAAAGGATTTATCGAAATAAATAAAATTTTATTAACAAAATTACGACAAAAGAAACAGTGAAATATAATATAATTTTCAGTAATTAGTAATTCCTTCTATGCCTTATTTTACAGGGTCTTTCTGTAAAATATTTTTAGCTATCTACCTCGAACAAGCTAGAATTTTATTTAATTATCAATTCCGCGTTCTTTATGTCAGTGCGATGGTTAAATCAATAAAATACATCAAAGAACTCGCACTATCAATATTTTTTTACTATAAATAACAAAGGTTCAAACAAACCAGATTATAAAAACTGAAAACTATTCTTTCGTGTAGATTTTCTTTTAAAATTCTATTCTTTCTTGTTTTATATCGCCGCCCCAGTTGATTAATTAACGCCCTTTTAATTAGGATATTAAAAATTCCCGGATTCTCTTTTCTTAAAAATCAATCGATAGATAGCCGCTTGCTATCTATTCCTTTATTTTCTTGCTTCATCTATTTTAAACTGATCGCCTTATGTAGCTAATTAAAGTTTGATTATCTAAATTATCTCTGTTATTATACAAGCGCGGGGAGGCAAAATACGGTGAGTTATTTGGCCAAGTTTAACGCCTTTTCGACGAAATTAGCAAGTTTACTTAAGTAATTCAATTAAATTGATGAAATTGAAGAAGAGAAAACTTTGTGTTATGTTTTTTGCCTGGATTTTATAGCTTAGGTAGCTTTGATTTCATTTATAACTTGGGTTTGTCTGCTAAAGTTTTCCAGCTTAAGTTTCATCTTGAGGTTTCTAGCTTAGTTTTAATAGCATCAGTGTAAAAATAGTCGATATTCGTAACTTAGATTTGACTTTCAGCTTAGGATTAGTAACCTAAGTTAAAACTACATTTAAGTACACTTAAATTTCGTAACTTAAATTTTACAGCTTGGGTCGTATAACTTGGTTATACAAGTTTAGGTTCTGTAGCTAAAGTTTCATAGCTTACGTTTGCCAAATTAAATTTTTAAGTTTTAAATTTCTTGAGTTTGCCAACTTCGGTAATGCAGCTTAAGTTTCATAAGTAGTATTTTAGAGCTCTTGACTTTAATAGTTTAAGTTCTTCGCCAGCTTAGATTTCGTGGCTAAAATTATAATGCTCCAATTCGTCATCTTGTTTTTCTACTAGAGTTTCAAAGCTGGTCTTTAGCTTGAATTTAATAGCTAGCTTAGATCTCGTAGTTTAAGTTTTATAACTCTTCTTAGCTAAAGCTTGCTTAATTAAGTTCCATGGCTTTCACAGATTAAATTTCACAGCTTTTTCATAGCTTAATTTATAGGTTTGTATTTGTAGTCCAAACTTGACAGACTGAATTTTATAATCATAAAATGTTGGCTTTTTACACTGAAAATTGGCAATTTTTAGGCTTTTTAGGGTATTTCATATCCTTTTCGTCTTATTAAATCCAAGCGGATAATTTTCCTAAAATATCTGGAGTCCTCTTTGAATATATATATTTTTTTAAGTAAAATAGGAAAAAAAATCTAATATTACTATCGATAAAATCATAAAATGACGACGAAAGTTATAAAAGATACGAAATATATTCAAAATGAATTCGATATATCATAAAGGGATCGAAATAAAAAAATAATTTCCTATGGCCAACTAATATATATTCACTTCCCTTTTTTGACCTTCGACATTCCAGGCAAAGAAACTGTTTTTAAACAGGCTATATTAGATTGGGCCTCCAAACTTGCCAGTAATAATTTTTAATAATAAACTTGTGTTACACGTCGAGCAGAGGGAGTGGAGCAATTTCAGCTTAAATGGAGGGTGTGAATTACAAAAGTTTTGCAACTCCGCAGCGGTAATTAGCC